TCTGCGCTATAGCATCTTGCTTCTACTTAAGATTCTATCAGCTTATATGTCATCCCTTTCTGCACCTTCTGTCATTCATCTCTTTTTCACTTACTTGCCCTCTATCCAATTTACCAAAGCGTTTCGATTAGCCTGAGCATAGTCTGATGTATAAATTTCCTGAGCTTGATTCCTGAGAGCTACGGGCAGGTATACAGTAGGTCCTGAGGTTTTGTAGCACTTTGGTACTATAAAGACAGGAGCGGATGAATTTGTCCACCCACCTGCCCCAAGGTCTAAAACAGTTCGTATATGACGAGGTAGCCTATAGAGGATTCCTGGCAGGAAGAAGAGCACTATTTGCATTGCGGTATCTTCATCTGGTACCTTGTAGAAAGACTCGAGATATGCCGATGGGTCAAACTGAAATTTTTCACATAAATCTCCGTTTCATAGGTGGATTTTTGACACTGGGTTGTCGGATGAGTTCGTGCTGTTTTCAAACTCAAACAAATAAAAGGGCAAAAATTCCGGCAGCAAAATTTACATTACGAAAGAACAAGCTCCCAGCATAAGATGTTGCAATGTCTAATCCACTAATTCGGGTTCTGTAAAATGAAAGTGATTGAATTTGTAAACCCAGATGGCAGAAAAAAACCCAACCGGTTCGTTCTTCTGGAATCTAAGAAGCTCAAAAAGTGCTATAACGCTATGTAATGGAGTAATGGGTACGCTTAATTCCTTCAAGACCTTACTGTAAGCGGTGGGTATACGTTACAGTTGTCGAAATCACGGATTTGTCTGAAATGTGGTCTTGTGGTTTTTGACATTCTGGTCAAAAGAAATTATACAGACATCGCATAATAAACCCTCAATGTAAAAAATGTGGGTATATGATGGTGAGGACAAAAATACTGATTTACTGAAAAAGGACAAATTGAATATTTTTAAATCTACCATGCAAATGGCTTTGTGGAAATGCATATGATTTGTAGTCAGAATATTGATTAGCCCCAGTAAATCAGGCTCAGTGAATTTGATATCATATCCTAATTAATCTCCTAATCCGATTACCACCCTAGCGCTATTATGGACTTTGGATTGCTCACAATCCAGAGGAATTATGCTGTTGGTTGAGCTCCATTTAGCCCTCTGGAGATACATCTTCAATCATTTCTAGTTTAACAAACCCAAAATTTCTGAAGAATCAAGGCCGTTGTTTTGTTGACAGAGACTTCTACTATCCAATAATAACGTGCTGCCAAAACACTCGACTTCTTACATTTTTGACTCAAAAAAGGGCACTAACTTATTTGACGAGTCATTAGGATCAGATATAGGGTAGTCGAAAAAGTCTTTTCGTATCTTTCACATCGAAATTTCCAGAACGAAAGCGAGCGAA